TCTATCTATCTATCTATCGTTCTATCTATCTATCTATCGTTCTATATCTATCTGTATCTATCGATCGTTCTATCGATCGTTCTATCGATCGTTCTATCTATCGTTCTATCTATCGTTCTATCTATCTACATTGTTCTATCGTTCTATCTATCTATCTCTCGTTCTATCTGTCTATCTATCTATCTATCTATCTATCTATCTATCGTTCTATCTTTCTATCTATCGTTCTATCTATCTATCTATCTATCTATCTGTATCTATCTATCGTTCTATCTATCGTTCTATTGTTCTATCTATATCTGTCTATCGTTCTATCTATCGTTCTATCGTTCTATCTATCGTTCTATCTATCTATCTTTCTATCGTTCTATCTATCGTTCTATCTATCTATCATTCTATCTATCTGTCGTTCTATCTATCTATCTTTCTATCGTTCTATCTATCTATCGTTCTATCTATCTATCTTTCTGTCGTTCTATCTATTGTTCTATCTATCTATCGTTCTATCTATCATTCTATCGTTCTATCGTTCTATCTTTCGTTCTGTCTATCTATCGTTCTATCTATCGTTCTATCTATCTTATAATATTTTAGATTTTGTTCTGTTTTGATGAATCATAAATAAAAAGTAAATACAAATAAAAATCACTGAACAAATCATGAAAATTATTATAAACAATATTTTGTATATATATTATATAAAAATGTGAATAAAAATATTGTGAGTGATTCATCAAAATAGAACAAAATAGAACATATAAATAAAAATAATAAATAATAAGTATAATATAATGTTATGCTTTGTTCTATTTTGATAAATCATTGTGAATGAGTTATCCACATTTTTATAAAAAAATATTTTTTGAATAGTATACATTTTATATTTTGATGCATCGATCATATTTTGTTTATATGTTTATTTATTGCAATTAAAAGCAAGTACATTTTAAATTCATATACAGTCCAGGAAGACTTCTGTAAATCCTCTACTTAACATGCAATTTACAAAATTTAATGGAATAAAACCAAATGAACATACAGAAATATATATGACTACATCAAAAAAAATTATAATCAAAATAAAAACAAATATAAAAAAACAGAGATGGGTAAATAGCAAATAAATGGAAATAGACTGTTTTTGTGTGAATGTGATGTAAGACAAGAACTTGTTTTTTATAGTTAATAGTCTATTTTGACTTTTTGGATCTGTTCCTCACACAAACTGATCATGTCATGTTAAGACCTATATACTAGTTTTTCAGTACGTTTTTGTAGCTTCACAACCTGTTTTCTTTCATTGTATGGAAGCAAGCAGTTTGAAGATCCTTTAAACCCTTCTTTTGTGTCGAACAGAGGAACGTAATGTGGGTTTGGAGCGACCTGAGCGAGTCAGTGATGACAGAATATTCATTTCTAGATGAACTTCTGCTGTAAGCTTGTTGAAAGCAGCTTGAACGGAAGCTTTTATGTCGTATAGAGGACGGGTTCAGCACAGACAAAGACTGTCAGAAATCCCAGGGTTTTGTTCACAGGAACAGAAGACAACCGTAACAGTATGTTTCAAATGACTTCAACAAACATAAAACCTCACTGAACTTGACCTTTACATGCCATAAACCTGTAATCGCAGTGTTGTTACGTCTTTGTGTATAACATAACGAGTTTGTGTTATGAATTTGGACAAGGAGAGTGCTGTTTTTTATTTTATATGTAAATAAAATTATATTTTCTTTTCTATTTTTAGTTTTTGTTTTAATTAATTTTTAGTCATTTTGTTTTGCGCTTTTGCCATTGATATTAGTTTTTTTTTGTAATATTTCATTAATTAATTTATTAATTCAGTTTTAGTAATTTAATGAATATTAAAGAAAAAAGGTTAAAGTACTAAAATTATTAAAACTACAATAAAATATTTATATTAGAAAAATGTAAAAATGTAAGCTTATTTCAGTAAGTTGCCAAGTCAACATTTCTTTTTTCTTTTAAGTAAGTTTTTCATTTAAAATTATTTTTAGTTTAGTTTAGTACTTCAGCTTAACTTAAAGTGTTAAAATTACAAAACTAAACAAAAATATAATAAAATATGAATATTAGGAAATTATTTTTTATTGCAGTTGTAGTTTTAAAACTAAATAAAACTGCATTTGGCATTTAACTGCAATATTAAAATGTTTCATATTAATATAAATAATATTACAATTATAAAAAAAACTACATCTCTAAAAGCATCTTTAAAATTTGCAAGCAGCATTTTTTAAGGTAAAATTTTCATCTAATATTTTATTTTATTTTAGTTAGTCATTGTATTACTTCAGGTTAAACATTTCTAATTTTTGTTTATTTTAGTTTAGTTTGAATCATTTTAGTACTTTAACTTAAATGAAAATTCAAAAGTACTAAAATGACTAAAACTAACCTAAAAGAAATAAAATGTTAATATTAGAAAAAAATAGCTTTTATTTTTATTTCAGTTTTAGTTTTAGTAATTTTAGTGCTCAAAGTTAAACTTAAATGAAAATTAGAAATGTTGTCTTGGCAGCTAAGTGAAATAAATATGTTTAAATTCAAGTACTAATTTAATTTAATTTAATTTTGTTATTTTATTTTATTTAATTTTTTTATTATTTTATATTTCATTTATTTTTTTAAATTTGTGTTATTATTGTTTATTTTATTTATTATTATTATTATTATTTATTTTATTTTTTTTACCTTCTTTTTTTAATAGTTTTACTTTGCTACCGATAGCCACACTGGACCGAAAGTGCGTTCTGACTGCCACTTGTGTTTGTCTGTCCCTTTATTTTTTATTATTTTATTTATTTTTTTATTTTATTTAATTTTTTAAAAATTTGTGTTATTATTGTTTATTTTATTTTATTATTTTAGTTTATTTACCTTCTTTTTTAATAGTTTTAGTTTGTTACTAGGGTTGCGAAGGGGTGGAAAATTTCCATAAAATTTCCGGAAACTTTCCAAAAATCCCTGGAATATTCCAAAAAATCCTGGAAAGTTTCCAAAATTTCTGGATTTTCCACCTTTTTGCAACCCTATTTGTTACCGATAGCCACCCTGGACCGTAAGTGCGTTCTGACTGCCGCTTGTGTTTGTCTGTCCGCAGGTGGGATGTCGTGAATCTGTCGGGTGACTCTGGTGCCAATGGGAGCTGCTGCAGCATCATGAGCTGCCATGATGCCGGAGGGCGCCGGCGTTACGAGGACTCGGAGTTCACATTGCGCGTGTATCCCGGCGCTCTGTCCGAGGGCACCATCTACTGCCCCGTCTCGGCGCGGAAGGTGACGTCGGCGGCGGAGGTCATCGAGCGCGTCATCGAGCGGCTGCAGCTGGACCGCGCGCGCCTCTACGTGCTTGCCGAGGTCAAGGAGTTCGGCGGCGAGGAATGGATCCTGAACCCCTGCGACTGTCCCGTGCAGCGCATGATGCTGTGGCCGCGCATGGCGCTGGAGAACCGGCTGGCCGGAGAGGATTACCGCTTTCTGCTGCGCGAGAAGGATCTGGACGGATCCATCCGCTACGGAAACCTGCAGATGTGGCTTCGTGTAACTGAGGGGCGGCGACGGATGGTGGAGCGCGGACTCCTCCCGCAGCCTCCGTACGTCGACGATCTCTGCGCGCTGCCCGATCTAAACGAGCGGACTTTGCTGGAGAACTTGCGCGGACGCTTTCGGCAGGAGAAAATTTACACGTACGTCGGCGGGATCCTGATCGTCGTCAACCCCTTCAAGTTCCTGCCCATCTATAACCCCAAATACGTTAAGGCAAGACACTGCAGGCAAAAACACCGTTTTTTTTTTATTAGGGCTGGGAGTCCAGAGATGGGCAGTATTTCAAAAACATGTATTTAAAATACAAAATACTACTTTGTATTTAAAGCTGCAGTCCGTAACTTTTTTTGGTTAAAAATTATCCGTATTTGAGCA